CCAGCTCACACAATAGATAAGTAGCATAATAGACTTCAGATCCATTTTATTCCCTGAGTCCAGCCCCTATTAAGATTCTACACAGCAGGGAGAGGACATGAAGATACAGCAAAAGACAATGAAAGACTCATGAGAAGGGAGGGTAATCAGAGAAAGAGAAGAGAGTTTCTGAGCCTGACTTTAAAAGAGGGAAGGAAATAGAACAAGTAGGAATGGAGTATACACTCACTTAAAGAGAAATAAACAAATGGGAAATGTGTATTTCCTAAATAGACTTCCATACTTGGGGGAGAGCATCTGTGTAAGGGAATAATGAGAAAAGAATGGTAAAGTAGGAAACAGACGGTGATTGTGCAAAGGCCTTGAAGCAGAGAAGTTGATTTAAGAGTGGAAACTCAATGGAAAGGAAAATCTGCTTAAAAGAAGTGTTTAAAATGTTTCAGTGTATGACTGTAAAATGGATATATGGGTAGAAAGTATATAGAGAGACACTGAAAAAAAAAAACAATCTAAATTGACTTTAGTCCTTTCAGCTCAAAAACAGTGTACCATTGCATTCCCCTCCTCTTTCAAAACGGAGGCAAGCTTGAGCTCTGCGTTTGGGGTATGAGATGCGATATAATTTTCTTTTCTTCCTACAGGATATGCTTTCCTTTATTAATCAAAAAGGGTCACTCACAGAATGCATCTTCAGCAAATCACCCAATATAAAATCAACCAGGGTCCTAAAGGAGAAACTAAATTCTGGGGTCAAAGTGGACCTGTACAGCGAATCTGTTCATGTGGTCGCATCCGTCTTAAAGGTAGGGAAGGTTCTAGCATTATCCACACACGAGTAACTGAAGCTATGATTGGTGTCTTTCATCATGACTGCTCAAGAACCATAATGGGCATAATAGATTAAGAACCTGACAAGCTGAAAAACGCTTGACAAAATCAAAATTTAAGGAAGCTACTTTAGGAGTTAAAAGCCCCATATGTTAGAAATTCTTTCTGTTTTCACCACACACCGCCTACCCTGCCTTCACTCCTGAAGTCGCCATGCAAAATACTAATACTGAAAGGACTACTAGTCATGATAATAAATTTCAAAATACGCACTGACACATACACACTGTTTACCCATGCAAACATTCTCACCACCCTCCTAGTGAAGGCAAAGTTTCCAAAAGAAATAGAACAGGGAAAGAATTTAATCCATCCACCTTGGCACTTATGAACAGCTCTGAACAACCCTATGTTAACGTAGTAATGACTACAGTCTTAGAATCTCAGTCACATTTGGTTTTCCCTTGTCCCCCATTAATGTTTGAAGATGTGATCAATAGCAAAGTCCAGAAATGACTTAGGTAACCACTCCTACACTGGGGCTCTAGTGATATCCAGTAGTAATATACATATAGAAGAATGCTGATACATTACGTAGCAAGATGAGTGTTGCCCTCTGTAAGGTGAGCACATGGAATCGATTTTCTAGCAAGAGTTAGGAGGTTCCGGGCGCCTGGGTGGCTCAGTTGGTTAAGCGACTGCCTTCGGCTCAGGTCATGATCCCGGAGTCCTGGGATCGAGTCCCACATCGGGCTCCCGGCTCAGCAGGGAGCCTGATTCTCCCTCTGACCCTATCCCATCTCATGCTGTTTCTCTCTCTCTCTCTCTTAAATAAATAAATAAATAAAATCTTTAAAAAAAAATCATTAAAAAAAAAAGAGTTAGGAGGTTCCTTCCTGATTCGGTGTTATAAGCACCGACTAGGAAGAAGGTATGCACATGTGGGTATAGTGCTTAGACATTTCTAAAGTTTTCTCTTCCTGAAGTTGATGGATCTTGGTGGAGAAACAGACTCTGCAACTTTGGCCTTGATAATATCATGTCAAAAAACTGGGAATGGACCTAATCTAGAAATGAATCTATCCTCAGGACCTCAGTGAGTCTACTATTAGACTCTCGACTTTTAGACAGTTAAGAAAAGGAAGAATGAAGGAATTATGAGAGTAGCTTTCTTCCAGGGAGCACACCTACCCCGAGTGAGAAGACCTAGTTCTTTCCTAATATGTGTGCAAGAGCCCACCTGTTTCTGTTTTGATTGTTTCAGGCCTTTTCTTGCTAGAGTTAAGAGCTAGCACTGTGTCTAAAACAAGCAACATGGGTAAGCGTATTTCTGTCCAAGAAGCTAATAGGATTTAGGATGGTCTATAGCCAGACCCTGTCAGTTTGTGGCACTTTGCAAAAAAAGCACTCACAAAAAATAAGTTCCAGATGATAGTAGGGAGCTTTATCTTCATTTCCACCACAGCCTAAGCTCTGCTTTTATGCCTCTAAGTTTTAGCGGGAGAAAATCCAAGCACCTGCTCCTGCGTGTGCAAGTCAATGGAGAGTCAGAGCCGAGCTCCGTGTGGGTCGCAGTTTGGGTATCTGTGAAGGAATTGGGGGCTGAACTGAATTTTTTAACTACATATTTTCCCTGTAATATTTCCAATACATATTTTCTGTAATATATATACATATTTATTTTTATCTCCACAAGGATTTCCTAAGAAATATCCCAGGAAGTTTATTTTTGGCTGATCTCTATGACAAATGGCTCGGTGTTATTGATCAAGGGAACGAAGAGGAGAAGATGACTGCAGCGCGGAGGTAATGATGCAATAATTACTCTACTCTGGTCATATCTCCAAAATACAGCCAACATACTATTAGGAAAACATTGGCTTACGTTTTGCAGCTTTGCCCACTATAATCATGACCAACGCCAAAGACTTTCAATTCTTCACACCCATGGGGGTCAGCTTCAGAATAGAGGCACGCTTTAGGGCTATTATTGTTCTTCTCCTGATCTTATTAATGTGGACTCCTTGGCCGTTTGACACCTTCTGGATCCATGAAACTTGTAGACGAAATTCCCTGGTTCAAGACACATGCAAGAGCATCACCTGCCAGGGCTATGACCTTAAAAGTCTGTCAAACATTTAACTAACCAGAGAAGTGTTTATCTGGCTCAGGAACTAAATTCAGTGCAACAATTTTGTCTACATTCATGCCTGGAACTCTGCTAGAGAGGGGTTGTGTGCTAGATATACAAGGATGTATCCTTTTCCCTGTCTCTGTTTTTCCAACCTCCTAAGTGGAATCATTTACCTAATTTAAAGTGTGTTTTTCTGACCTTAGGCTTTTAGCCCAGCTGCCAAGAGCAAATATTGTTCTCTTGCGATACCTTTTTGGAGTGCTATACAACATTGAGCAACATTCCTCATCCAATCAGATGACAGCTTATAACTTATCCGTTTGTATAACCCCAAGCGTTCTTTACCCACCTGATTCCGGCACCTTGGAATTGGAAGACAACTTGATAAAAAAGGTAATGAGAGCTCTCATTTTTGTCGCCCAAGGGGTAGAATCCCTACTTTGAACCGGACATGTGCAGTAGTAACTCTGACGGATGGAACTTTGTGAAGTGCACATTTTCATTAGGCCCCTGTGGAGTGGCAGAGTTCTTTATCCTACTCTGGCAGGGTCTGGGAAGGGGTGTCGTTAAACGGGAAACTCGGAGCAGTCGAGTCACTTCTTCACCCTCCAGGAGACTAAACACTAGAGTGACTAAACGAGAGAGAGAAGAGTCGTGTGATACGATAGGAAAGAACCTGGGCTTTGGAGCTTCACCAGTCAAGGTTCAAATCTCAGCCTAATCCCTGAGGGACTCGTAACCTTGGGCAAAGCCATGGTTTCCTCACTACACAATGGCGACAACAGCCAGCTCCTCCGGTCATCACTGGCACATCCTGGGTGGCTTGGGCAATATGAGCCCCCATGCCTCCAAACACATTGGCCTTCCTCTGCCAATTGTGGCTCATCTAGAAAAGTACTCGGCTACTATTTCACCTCTGCTACGTCATTTGGAAACTAGCAAGAGATTCCAGAATATCCTAATAAGATGACAGGTCTTCCCCAAGCTCACACAGAGAGAGCCAGCATGAGGCAAAGCAATGCGTGAGAAGGGACTGAAGTTAGACAGACAGATACATTTTCTCTCCAGCTGTGTGGGTTTTCCCTCACAACCCCACCAAAATCTCTGCTTCCCAACTTTAAGATACTTCTTCATTTAAGAAATGGTTTTCTTAAGTTTTTGTTCATACTTTATAAAGTTTCATAAGATGTTATACATCAGTTGCAGCTCAATAAAACTGGAAACAAAATTTAAAAACAAAAAATAAGTAAACTTTAATAAGGTAGGCTACTTTGAAAATTATCCTTGTTTTATTTATATTTTGATATGTATTTATTTGAGAGAGGGAAAGAGAGAGCGTGAGCGGGGCAGGGGCAGAAGAAGAGGGAGAGGGAGAGGGAGAAGCCCAAGCCCATTCCCCGCTGAGCACGGAGCCCAAAGTTGGCTCCATGTGGGGCTGGATCTCACCATCATGAGATAGTGATCTGAGCCAGAATCAAGAGTCAGATGCTCAACTGAGGGGCCCCAAAATTATCCTAGGCTTAATGATGTAACCACTGATACCAAAATGTTGGCTATTAAACTAGGCCACATACTAAAACTTTAGCCTACTGATTAGCAGTATTTTAAAATGTGTACCCAAAATACACGGAAAAGTATCACTCTTCCTAAGTTATTTCTTAGAGAATTCTGGTCTCTGTTTTTTATTTTATTATTTTTTTTAAGATTATATTTATTTTCTTGACAGAGGCAGACACAGCGAGAGAGGGAACACAAGCAGGGGGAGTGGGAGAGGGAGAATCAGGCTTCCCACTGAGCAGGGAGCCCGATATAAGGCTGATCGCATCACCCTGGGATCATGAGCTGAGCTGAAGGCAGACTCTTGACCGATTGAGCCACCCAGGCGCTCCTGGTCTCTATGTATTTTTATCAGTTCTGAATTTTTCTGGGAAATCTTTCACATTCTTTCTTAGATCCAAGGTCTATATACATAATGTGATTTATAACTATGCCCTATGGAAAAGAGCACCCCATTCTTGTCTTTTTGTGTTACAGATTTCTCTTGTACAATTTCTCATTGAAAATTGCCTTAAAATATTTGGAGAAGACATCACTTCCCTCTTGGGAGAGAACTCAATGAGTCCTGGTAACAGCGAGCAGGCTGCAGGTACCGGGAATAATTTTATTGGCTTTAGTGAGAAGCAGACAGCAAGGCTGCCAGGGGTCATGGGAGATGCTTAGACAGAGCTGTTCTGGAGCCCAGAGCATCGCCAGGGCAAGGATTTCCATGGGCTCCTTCTTCCGAAGGCTGGCTCACAGGTCAAGGGAGGTTCCACACTGTTGTGAGACCAAAGAAAGGATAAGATGAGGTCTCTGACTTCAAGAAGTTTCTTGTGTAGATCATAACAGAATTAGGACTCATCATGGTATGCCACAGTGTTTGGGAACTTTTTCTCACAAAATTTAAATGGGTGCTATATATATATCTATGTAGTTATATATATTACATAATTATATACTGATACTATATAAATATATAAACATAATGTATATATTTATGTATATTACATGTGCGCTGGTTGAAGCCAGAGAAAGGGGCCTTTCTTCCCCTCCCTCCTCTTTTGGCTCAGGGGCTCTTGAGGCACCACAGGATTCCAGTGCCCTTTGAAATGGGTTGAAAAGAATTGGCATCTTTGAGAAAAAAGAACTTGACTTGATGTCAAACAACCTCTCCAGAGTGTAAATTCCTGTACCCCCATTTACCAGCTATATTATCTTTGGCCCGTTATAGCAGCTAAGCATCAGTTTATTCATCTCTAAAATGTGGATAAAAATAATGTCTAAATCTTAGAATTGTGGTGTAGAATAAATAAGATGATGGATGTAATCCAAAAAAAGCCATTAATAGCACTAGGAGAAGTGCCCCTGACACTAGAGGTAGTATGATTTGAGCCTAGCTAATCAGACCTAACTGGCAGCAGTCCACCTTAGAAGGTAGACTTTCGATTCAGAACCTGGAGACACGTATCATCAATCCCTCCATATTTTTGACATTTCTTGTTTTCATGACACGTACCACATACTTTGAGGAAAGTTTTAGGAAAATACAAGTCATCAGGAATTAAGATGAGTCTGAGGCACCTGGGTGGCTCAGTCGTTAAACATCTGCCTTCAGCTCAGGTCATGATCCTGGGGTCCTGGTACCGAGCCCCGAGTCGGGCTCCCTGCTCCGAGGGAAGCCTGCTTCTCCCTCTCCCCCACCCCCTACTTGTGTTCCCTCTCTTGCTGTCTCTCTCTCTCTGTCAAAAAATAAATAAAATCTGTAAAAAAAAAAAAAAAAGGAAAAAGAAGGTTCAACATATTAAACAACAACTACTACTACGAGTACTCTCACTTCTTCCTTAGACTCCAGCCTGAAGACTGTGAAAACCCGTTCTTTCAGAGATAGGGCGTTTTGTCGGGGTTCCAGCACTTCCCAGCACAACCAGTGCACAGCCCCACCTTCCGCAAAGCCAGGACAGCTCTTTGGAGTTCCCCTCATGGATGTGTGTGATAAAGACAACTTCTCCTTCCCAATTCTGGTAGGTCATCTCATTTTGGTCTTCAATAGCCCTCCTGAGAAGGGGAAACTCTGAGAGGCCAAGCGTCCTCATCCAAATCTATCCCCAAATGAAGATGTCATTAGACAGCCCCTGGCTTTGGTTGAGAAGCTCTGTTACTGTTATTTCAAAGAATAGAATCTGATTTCGGTCCTGCAGAGTCATGAGGCAAATACAAAAGGAAAAGTCATTCTTCTCCATTCCACTTGGGTCTTGTTTCCACAAAGACATGCGGAGGCTTGTTCAGATCAGTCAAAATGGACTCTGTGTATGTGAGTCTCTGAGAGTCCACCTCATCTTCACACTCTCCCTTCATTGCCTTCCTGATCTCACATGAGTCTCAAGTCTCCTTCAGCGGAGTCTACTCAGTCTAACAATTGTAAACATCTGACACAAGCATAGACTCATCCTCTGGCAAATAGGAATCTGTTAATCCTAACAGAATATGTCAAATGAAAGCCACAGAGTTTGGTCTGTGTTATCTCAAACTGCTGTAGTGAATTGTCAGTGTGGACATTCACTGAGTATTCGGTGTCTCTGCAAGCATTGTACGGGATGTAGGGAACGTTCCGCTAGCTATGAAGAAATGTATCATCTTAGCTAGCATGTTACCTGCTAGCTACTACCCCAGATCCTTGCTTCACAGCAAATTTAGGGGCTAGCTAGGATTATCATCCTCCGCACTGCCTAACCGAATCAGAAAAGCCTCAGTACAGGATGCGTGTGCCCCAGCTCACACAATAGATAAGTAGCATAATAGACTTCAGATCCGTTGGATTCCCTGAGTCCAGCCCTTATTAAATTTCTACACAGCAGGGAGAGGACAGGAAGATACAGCAAAAGACAATGAAGGACTCTTGAGAAGGGAGGGTAATCAGAGAAGGAGAAGAGAGTTTCTGAGCCTGACTTTAAAAGAGGGAAGGAAATAGAACAAGTAGGAATGGAGTATACAGTCACTTAAAGAGAAATAAACAAATTGGAAATGAGTATTTCCTAAATAGACTTCCATACTTGCGGAAAAGCATGTATGTAAGGGAAAAATGTGAAAAGAATGGGAAAGTAGGAAACAGACGGTGATTCCGCAAAGGCCTTGAGACAGAGAAGTTTGATTTAAAAGTGTAAACTTAGTGGAAAATCTGATTAAAAGAAGTGTTGAAAATGTTTCAGTGTATGACTGTAAAATGGATATATGGGTAGAAAGTATATAGAGAGACACTGAAAAAACAGCAATCTAAATTGACTTTAGTCCTTCCCGCTCTAAAACATTGTACCATTACATTCCCCTTTTCTTTCAAAACGGAGGCAGGCATGGTATATGAGATGCCATATACTTTTCTTTTCTTCCTACACGGTATGCTTTCCTTTATTAATCAAAAAGGGCCACTCGCAGAAGGCATCTTCAGAAACTCAGCCAATATAAAATCCCGCAGAGTCCTAACGGAGAAACTAAATTCTGGGATCAAAGTGAACCCGTACAGGGAATCTATTCATGTGTTCGCATCCGTCTTAAAGGTAGGGAAGGTTCTAGCATTATCCACATGTGAGTAACTGAAGCGATGATGGGTGTCCTTCATCATGACTGCTCAAGAACCATAACGGGCATAGTAGATTAAGAACCTGACAAGCTAAAAAACGCTTGACAAAATCAAAATTTAAGGAAGCTACTTTAGGAGTTAAAAGCCCCATGTGTTAGAAATACTTTCTGTTTTCACCACACACGGCCCTCCGCACCTTCACTCCTGAAGACTCCATGCAAAATACTAATACTGAAATGACTACAGTCATGATACTAAATTTCAAAATACGCACTGACACAAACACACTGTTTACCGAAGCAGACATCCTCACCACCCTCCTAATGAAGGCAAACTTTCCAAAAGAAATAGAACAGGGAGGGGCGCCTGGGTGGCTCAGATGGTTAAGCGTCTGCCTTCGGCTCAGGTCATGATCCCAGTGTCCTGGGATCGAGCCCCGCATCGGGCTTCCTGCTCAGCGGGGAGCCTTCTTCTCCCTCTCCCTCTGCCTCTCTCCCTCCTCATGCTCTCTCCCTCTCTATCTCTGTGTCTCAAATGAATAAGAAAAAAAAAAAAAAAGAAGAAATAGAACAGGGAAAGAATTTAATCCATGCAGCTTGGCACATATGAACAGCTCTGAACAACCCTATGTTAATGTAGTACTGACTACAGTCTTAGAATCTCAGTCACATTTGGTCTTCCCTTGTCCCCCATTAATGTTCGAAGATGTGATCAATAGCAAAGTCCAGAAATGACTTAGGTAACCACTCCTACACTGGGGCCATAGTGATATCCAGTAGTAATATACATATAGGCATCAGGAGACAGGAGAAGAATGATGATACACTAGGTAGCAAGATGAGTGTTGCCCTCTGTAAGGTGCACACATGGAATCGATTTTCTAGCAAGAGTTGGTAGGTTCTTTTCTGATTCTGTGTTATAAGCACTGACTAGGAGGAGCATGAGCACTTGTGGGTATAGTGCTTAGACATTTCTAAAGTTTTCTCTTCCTGAAGTTGACGGATCTTGGTGGAGAATCAGACTCTGCAACCTTGGCCTTGATAATATCATGGCAAACTAACTGGACAATTGTCCTAAACTAGAAATGAATCTATCCTCAGGACCATAGTGAGTCTGCCATTAGACTCTCGACTTTTAGACAGTTAAGAAAAGGAAGAATGAAGCAATTGTGAGAGTAGCTTTCTTCCAGGGAGCACACATACCCCGAATGAGAAGACCTATTTCTTGCCTAATGTGTGTGCAAGAGCCCACCTGTTTGTGTTTTGATTGTTTCAGGCCTTTTCTTGCTAGAATTAAGAGCTGGCGCTGTGTCTAAAACAAGCAACATGAGTATGTGTATTTCTGTCCAGGAAGCTAATAGGATTTAGGATGGTCTATAGCCAGACCCTGTCAGTTTGTGGTACTTTGCAAAAAAAGCACACACACAAAATAAGTTCCAGATGATAGAAGGGAGCTTTATCTTCATTTCCACCACAGACTAAGCTCTGCTTTATGCCTCTAAGTTTTAGTGGGAGAAAATCCAAGCATCTGCTGCTGCGTGTGCAAGTCAATGGAGAGTCAGAGCCGAGCACCGTGTGGGTCACAGTTTGAGTATCTGTGAAGGAAGTGGGGGCTGAACTGAATTTTTTAACTACATATTTTCTCTGGAATATTTCCATTACATATTTTCTATAACATATATATATAGTTTTTTTTTTTTATCTCCCTAAGGATTTTCTTAGAAATATACACGGAAGTATATTTTTATCTGATCTCTATGACAAATGGCTCGGTGTTATTGATCAAGGCAACGAAGAGGAGAAGATAACTGCAGCCCAGAGGTAATGATGCAATAATTACTCTGGTCACATCTCCAAAATACAGCCCACATACTATTAGGAAAACATTGGCTTACGTTTTGCAGCTTTGCTCACTATAATCATGACCAATGCCAAAGAGTTTCAATTCTTCACACCCATGGGGGCCAGGTTCATAATGGAGACACACTTTAGGGCCATTATCGTTCTTCTCCTGATCTTATTAATGTGGAATCCTTGGCCGTTTTACATCTTTTGGATACATGAAACTGTTAGGGGAAATCCCCTGGTCCAAGACAGATGCAAGAACATCAATTGCCAGGGCTATGACCTTAAAGGTCTGTCAAACATTTAACTAACCAGAGAAGATTTTATCTGGCGCAGGAACTGAAGTCAGGGCAACAATTTTGTATACATTCATGCCTGGAACTCTGCTACAGCGGGTTGTGTGCTAGATATACAAGGATGTATCCTGTTCCCTGTCTTTTTTTTCAACCTCCTAAGTGGAATCACTTGCCTAATTTAGTGTATTTTTCTGACCTTAGGCTTTTACCCCAGCTGCCAAGAGCAAATGTCATTGTCTTGCGATACCTTTTTGGAGTGCTATACAACATTGAGCAACATTCCTCATCCAATCAGATGACAGCTTATAATTTATCCGTTTGTATAGCCCCAAGCGTTCTTTACCCACCTGATTCCGGCAGCTTGGAATTGGAAGACAACTTGATAAAAAAGGTAATGAGAGCTCTCATTTTTGCCCCCATGGGGTAGAATCCCTACTTTGAACCGGATATGTGCAGTTGTAACTCTGACGGATGGAACTATGTGAAGTGCACATTTTCATTAGGCCCCTGTGGAGTGGCAGAGTTCTTTATGCTACTCTGGCGGGGTCTGGGAAGGGGTGTCGTTAAACGGGAAACTCGGAGCAGTCGAGTCACTTCTTCCCCCTCCAGGAGACTAAACACTAGACTGACTAAACGAGAGGGAGAAGAGTCATGTGATACGATAGGAAAGAACCTGGGTTTTGGAGCTTCACCAGTCAAGGTTCAACTCTCAGCCTAATCCCTGAGGGACTCGTAACCTTGGGCAAAGCCATGGTTTCCTCACTACACAATGGCGACAACAGCCAGCTCCTCCGGTCATCACTGGCACATCCTGGGTGGCTTGGGCAATATGAGCCCCCATGGGTCCAACCACATTGGCCTTCCTCTGCCAATTGTGGCTCATCTAGAAAAGTACTCAACTACTATTTCACCCCTGCTACATCTTATGGAAACTAGCAAAAGATTCCAGACCATCCTAACAAGATGACAGGTCTTCCCCAAGCTCACACAGAGAGAGCCAGCATGAGGCAAACCAATGCGTGAGAAGGTACTGAATTTAGACAGACAGATACATTTTCTCTCCAGCTGTGTGGGTTTTCCCTCACAACCCCACCAAAATCTCTGCTTCTCAACTTTAAGATTCTTCTTCATTTAAGAAATGGTTTCTTAAGTTTTCGTTCATACTTTATAAAGTTTCATAAGATGTTATACATCAGTTACAGCTCAATAAAACTGGGAACAAAATTTAAAAACAAAAAACAGGTAAACTTTAATAAGGTAGGCTACTTTGAAAATTATCCTAGTTTTATTTATTTTTTGATATTTATTTTTTTGAGAGAGGGAAAGAGAGCGTGAGCGGGGCAGGGGCAGTAGAAGAGGGAGAGGGAGAAGACCAAGCCAATTCCCTGCTGAGCCCAGAGCTGAAAGTTGGCTCCATGTGGGGCTGGATCTCACCACTATGAGATTGTGATCTGAGCCGAAATCAAGAGTCAGACGCTCAACTGAGGGGCCCCGAAATTTATCCTAGGCTTAAAGATGTAACCACTGATCCCAAAATGTTAGCTATGAAACTAGGCCACACATTAAAACTTTAGCCCACTGATGAGCAGTATTTCAAAATGTGTACCCAAAGTACACGGGAAAGCATCAGTCATTCTAAGTTATTTCCTAGAGAACTCTGGTCTCTATTTTTTTTTGGTTTTTTTTTTTAAGATTTTATTTATTTACTTGACAGAGAGGGAACTCAAGCAGGGAGAGTGGGAGAGGAAGAAGCAGGCTTCCCGCTGAGCAGGGAGCCAGATATAGGGCTGATCCCAGCACCCTGGGATCATAAGCTGAGCCGAAGGGAGACGCGTAACTGACTGAGCTACCCAGGTGCCCCTGGTTTCTACGTATTTTTATCAACTCTGAATTTTTCTGATAAGTCCTTCACGTTTTTTCTTAGATCCAAGGTCTATATACAAAATGTGTTTTCTAACTATGGCCTATGGAAAAGAACACCCCATTTTTGTCTTTTTGTGTTACAGATTGCTCTTGTACAATTTCTCCTTGAAAATTGCCTCAGGATATTTGGCGAAGACATCACTTCCTTCTTGGGAGAGAAGTCAATGAGTCGTGGTAAGAGCGAGAAGACTGCAGCTACCGGGAATAATTTAATTGGCTTTAGTGAGAAGCAGACAGCAAGGCTGCCAAGGGTCATGGGAGATGCATAGACAGTGCTGTTCTGGAGCCCAGAGCATCGCCAGGGCAATGATTTCCATGTGCTCCTTCTTCCAAAGGCTGGCTCACAGGTCAAGGGAGGTTCCACACTGTTGTGAGACCAAAGAAAGGATAAGATGAAGTCTCTGACTTCAAGAAGTTCCTAGGGTAGATCATAAAGGCATTAGGACTCATCATGGTATGCCATAGTGTTTGGGAATTTTTTCTAACAAAATTCTAATAGGGTGCTATACATATATATACATATATATTTGTATATATATGTATATATGTAATAACGAATCAGAAAAGCCTCAGTACAGGATGTATGTATATGTATGTATATATTTGTATATGCATATATATATGTAAAACACATCAAACATATGTATGTAGTTATATATAATATATAATTAGATACTTATACTATATAAATATATTATCATAATATATATATTTATGTATATTAGAAGTGCTCTGGTTGAAGCCAGAGAAGGGGCCTTTCTTCCCCTCCGTCCTCTTTTGGCTCAGGGGCTCTTGAGGCACCACAGGATTCCAGTGGCTTTAAAATGGGTTGAAAAGAACTGGCATCATTGAGAAAAAAGGACTTGACTTGATGTCAAACTACCTCTCCAGAGTGTAAATTCCTGTGCCCGCATTTACCAGCTATATTATCTTTGCCCAGTTATACCACCTCAGCATCAGTTAATTCATCTCTAAATATGGATAAAAATAATGTCTAAATCTTAGAATTGTTGTGTAGAATAAATAAGATGATGGATGTAATCCAAAAAAAGCCATTAATATGACTAGGAGAAGTGCCCCTGAGACTAAAGCTAGTATGTTTTGAGCCTAGCTAATAACAGCTGTCAGCAGTCCACCTTGGAAGGTAGACTTTCGATTCAGAACCTGTAGACACGTATCATCAATCCCTCCATATTTCTGACATTTCTTGGTTTTATGATGCTTACGACATTGATTTGAGGAAATCTTTAGGAAAATACAAGTCATCAGGAATTAAGATGAGTCTGGGGCACTTGGGTGGCTCAGTCGTTAAGTAACTGCCTTCAGCTCAGGTCATGATCTCGGGGTCCTGGGATCGAGCCCCGCATCGGGCTCCCTGCTCCGAGGGAAGCCTGCTTCTCCCTCTCCCCGTCCCCCTGCTTGTGTTCCCTCTCTCGCTGTCTCTCTCCCTCTATCAAAATATAAATAAAATCTGTAAAAAAAAAAAAAAAAAAAGGAAGAAGAAGTTTCAGCGGATTAAAGAACAACTACTACCACTAGTACTCTCTCTTCTTCCTTAGACTCCGGCCAGAAAACTGTGAAAAGCTGTTCCTTCAGAGACAGGGCCTTTTGGTGGGGCTCCAGCACTTGCCAGCAAAACCAGTGCACAGCCCCACATTCTGCAAAGCCAGGAGAGCTCTTTGGAGTTTGCCTCATGGTTGTGTGTTATAAAGACAACCTGGCCTTCCCAATTCTGGTAGGTCATCTCATTTTGGTCTTCTATAGCTCTTCTGAGGTGCGGAAACACTGAGAGGCCATGTGTCCTCATCCAAATCTATCCCGAAATAGAGAAGTCCTTAGACAGCCCTGGTTTTGGCTCAGAAGCTCTGTTACTGTTATTTCAAGGAACAGAATCTGACTAAGGTCCAGCAGAGTCATGAGGCAAATACAACAGGAAAAGACATTCTTGTCCATTCTACTTGGGTCTTCTTTCTGCAAAAACCCACCGAGGCCTGTTCAGATGAGTCAAAATGACTCTGTGTATGTGAGTCTCTGAGAGTCCACTTCATCTTCACACTCTCCCTTCACTGCCTTCCTGCACTCACATGAGTCTCAAGTCTCCTTCAACGGAGTCTACTCAGTCTAACAACTGCAAACATCTGACACGAGCATAGACTCATCCTCTGGCAAATAGGAATCTGTTAATCCTAACAGAATATGTCAAATGAAAGCCACAGAGTTTGGCCTGTGTTATCTCAAACTGCTCTAGTGAATTGTCAGTGTGGACATTCACTGAGTATTTGGTGTCTCTGCAAGCACTGTATGGGATGTAGGGAACGTTGTGCTAGCTATGAAGAAATGTATCGTATTAGCTAGCATGTTACCTGCTACCTACTACCCCAGGTCCTTGCATCACAGCAAATTTAGGGGCTAGCTAGGATTATCATCCTCCGCACTGCCTAAACGAATCAGAAAAGCCTCAGTACAGGATGTATGTGCCCCAGCTCACACAATAGATAAGTAGCATAATAGACTTCAGATCCGTTGGATTCCCTGAGTCCAGCCCTTATTAAGATTCTACACAGCAGAGAGAGGACATGAAGATAGAGCAAAAGACAATGAAAGACTCATGAGAAGGGAGGGTAATCAGAGAAGGGGAAGAGAGTTTCTGAGCCTGACTTTAAATGAAGGGAAGGAAATAGAACAAGTAGGAATGGAGTATACAGTCACTTAAAGAGAAATAAACAAATGGGAAATGAGTATTTCCTAAATAGACTTCCATACTTCGGGAAGAGCATCTACGTAAGGGAATAATGAGAAAAGAATGGTAAAGTAGGAAACACATGGTGATTGCACAAAGGCCTTGAAGCAGAGAAGTTTGATTTAAGAGTGGAAACTCAATGGAAAGGAAAATCTGATTAAAAGAAGTGTTTAAAATGTTTCAGTGTATGACTGTAAAATGGATATTTGGGTAGAAAGTATATAGAGAGACACTGAAAAAAAAAAACAAAAAACATTCTAAATTGACTTTGGTCCTTCCTGCTCTAAAACAGTGTACCATTACATTCCCCTCCTCTTTCAAAACGGAGGCAAGCTTGTGCTCTGCGTGTGTGGATATGAGATGCCATATACTTTTCTTTTCTTCCTACAGGCTATGCTTTCCTTTATTAATCAAAAAGGGCCCATCACAGAAGGCATATTCAGAAACTCAGCCAATATAAAATCCTGCCATGTCCTAAAGGAGAAACTAAATTCTGGGGTCAAAGTGAACCCGTACAGCGAATCTGTTCATGTGGTCGCATCCGTCTTAAAGGTAGGGAAGGTCCTAGCATTATCCACACACGAGTAACTGAAGCTATGATTGGTGTCCTTCATCATGACTGCTCAAGAACCATAACGGGCGTAATAGATTAAGAACCTGACAAGCTGAAAAACGCTTGACAAAATCAAAATTTAAGGAAGCTACTTTTGGAGTTAAAAGCCCCATGTGTTAGAAATACTTTCTGTTTTGACTACACACCGCCCTCCCCACCTTCACTCCTGAAGACTCCATGCAAAATACTAATACTGAAATGACTACTAGTCATGATAATAAATTTCAAAATACGCACCGATACATACACACAGTTTACCCATGAAAACATCCTCACCACCCTCCTAATGAAGGCAAACTTTCCAAAAGAAATAGAACAGGGAAAGAATTTAATCCATCCACCTTGGCACTTATGAACAGGTCTGAACAACCCTATGTTAACGTAGTAATGACTACGGTCGTAGAATCTCAGTCTCATTTGCTCTTCCCTTGTCCCCCGTTAATGTTTGAAGATGTGATCAATAGCAAGGTCCAGAAATGACTTAGGTAACCACTCCTACACTGGGGCCATAGTGATATCCAGTAGTAATATACATACAGGCATCAGGAGACAGGAGAAGAATGATGATACACTAGGTAGCGAGATGAGTGTTGCCCTCTGTAAGGTGCACACATGGAATCGATTTTCTAGCAAGAGTTAGGAGGTTCTTTCCTGATTCCGTGTTATAAGCACCGACTAGGAAGAGGGTGAGCACTTGTGGGGAGAGTGCTTAGACATTTCTAAAGTTTTCTCTTCCTGAAGTTGACGGAATTTGGTGGAGAATCAGACTCTGCAACCTTGGCCTTGATAATATCATGGCAAACTAACTGGACAATTGTCCTAAACTAGAAATGAATCTATCCTCAGGACCACAGTGAGTCTGCCATTAGACTCTCGACTTTTAGACAGTTAAGAAAAGGAAGAATGAAGCAATTGTGAGAGTAGCTTTCTTCCAGGGAGCACGCATACCCCGAGTGAGAAGACCTAGTTCTTTCCTAATATGTGTGCAAGAGCCCACCTGTTTGTGTTTTGATTGTTTCAGGCCTTTTCTTGCTAGAGTTAAGAGCTAGCACCTTGTGTAAAACAAGCAACATGGGTATGTGTATTTCTGTCCAGGAAGCTAATAGGATTTAGGATGGTCTATAGCCAGACCCTGTCAGTTTATGGTACTTTGCAAAAAAAAAGCACACACACAAAATAAGTTCCAGATGATAGAAAGGAGCTTTATCTTCATTTCCACCACAGGCTAAGCTCTGATTTTTGCCTCTAAGTTTTAGCGGGAGAAAATCCAAGCACCTGCTCCTGCGTGTGCAAGTCAATGGAGAGTCAGAGCTGAGCTCCGTGTGGGTCCCAGTTTGGGTATCTGTGAAGGAAGTGGGGGCTGAACTGAATTTTTTAACTATATATTTTCTCTGGAATATTTCCACTACATATTTTCTATAATATATACACATATTTTTTTATCTCCCTAAGGACTTTCTAAGAAACATCCCAGGAAGTGTATTTTTATCTGATCTCTATGACAAATGGCTCGGTGTTATTGATCAAGGCAACAAAGAGGAGATGATAACTGCAGCTCGGAGGTAACGATGCAATAATTACTCTACTCTGGTCACATCTCCAAAATACACCCAACATACTATCAGGAAAACATTGGCTTACGTTTTCCAGCTTTGCCCACTATAATCATGACCAACACCAAAGAATTTCGAGTCTTCACACCCATGGGGCCCAGCTTCAGAATAGAGGCACACTTTAGGGCTGTTATTGTTCTTCTCCTGATCTTATTAATGTGGACTCCTTGGCCGTTTTACACCTTCTGGATCCTTGAAACTGGTAGACAAAATTCCCTGGTCCGAGACAGATCAAGAGCAACAACTGCCAGGGCTATGACCTTAAAAGTCTGTCAGACATTTAACTAACCAGAGAAGTGTTTATCTGGCTCAGGAACTGAATTCAGTGCAACAATTTTGTCTACATTCATGCATGGAACTCTGCTACAGCGGGTGGTGTGCTAGATATACAAGGATGTATCCTGTTCCCTGTCTCTGTTTTTCCAACCTCCTAAGTGGAATCACTTGCCTAATTTAAAAGTGTGTTTTTTTGACTTTAGGCTTTTAGCCCAGCTGCCAAGAGCAAATGTTGTTCTCTTGCGATACCTTTTTGGAGTGCTATACAACATTGAGCAACATTCCTCATCCAATCAGATGAAACCTTATAATTTATCCGTTTGTATAGCCCCAAGCGTTCTTTACCCACCTGATTCCGGCAGCTTGGAATTGGAAGACAACTTGATAAGAAAGGTAATGAGAGCTCTCATTTTTGTCCCCCAGGGGGTAGAATCCCTACTTTGACCCGGACATGTGCAGTAGTAACTCTGACAGAAGGAACTTTGTGAAGTGCACATTTTCATTAGGCCCCTGTGGAGTGGCAGAGTTCTTTATGCTACTCTGGCGGGGTCTGGGAAGGGCTGTCGTTAAACGGGAAACTCGGAGCAGTCGAGTCACTTCTTCCCCCTCCAGGAGACTAAACACTAGACTGACTAAACGAGAGAGAGAAGAGTCGTGTGATACGATAGGAAAGAACCTGGGTTTTGGAGCTTCACCAGTCAAGGTTCAACTCTCAGCCTAATCCCTGAGGGACTCGTAACCTTGGGCAAAGCCATGGTTTCCTCACTACACAATGGCGACAACAGCCAGCTCCTCCGGTCATCACTGGCACATCCTGGGTGGCTTGGGCAATATGAGCCCCCATGCCTCCAAACACATTGGCCTTCCTCTGCCAATTGTGGCTCATCTAGAAAAGTACTCGGCTACTATTTCACCTCTGCTACATCATATGGAAACTAGCAAGAGATTCCAGAATATCCTAATAAGATGACAGGTCTTCCCCAAGCTCACCCAGAGAGAGCCAGCATGAGGCAAAGCAATGCGTGAGAAGGGACTGAAGTTAGACAGACAGATACGTTTTCTCTCCAGCTGTGTGGGTTTTCCCTCACAACCCCACCAAAATCCCTGCTTCCCAACTTTATGATACTTCTTCATTTAAGAAATGGTTTTCTTAAGTTGTCGTTCATACTTTATAAAGTTTCATAAGATGGTATACATCAGTTACAGCTCAGTAAAACTGGAAACAAAATTTAAAAGCAAAAAATAAGTAAACTTTAATAAGGTAGGCTACTTTGAAAATTATCCTTGTTTTATTTATATTTTGATATGTATTTATTTGAGAGAGGGAAAGAGAGAGCGTGAGCGGGGCAGGGGCAGAAGAAGAGGGAGAGGGAGAGGGAGAAGCCCAAGCCCATTCCCCGCTGAGCACGGAGCCCAAAGTTGGCTCCATGTGGGGCTGGATCTCACCACCATGAGATCGTGATCTGCGCCGAAATCAAGAGTCAGACGCCCAACAGAGGGGCCCCGAAATTTATCCTAGTCTTAAAGACGTAACCACTGATCCCAAAATGTTAGCTCTTAAAGTAGGCCACGCATTATAACTTTAGCCCACGGATGGGCAGTATTTTAAAATGTGTACCCAAAGTACACGGGAAAGTATCACTCTTTCTAAGGTATTACTGAGAGAACTCTGGTTTCTATGTGTTTCTGTTTTTTTGTGTTTTTTTTTTTAAACTTTTATTTATTTACTTGACTGAGAGAGTCACAGCGAGAGAGGGAACACAAGCAGGGGGAGTGGGAGAGGGAGAAGCAGGCTTCCCGCTGAGCAGGGAGCCCGATGTAGGGCTGATCCCAGCACCCTGGGATTATGACCTGAGCCGAACGCAGACGCTTAACCGACTGAGCCACCCAGGCGCCCCTGGTTTCTACGTATTTTTATCAAGTCTGAATTTTACTGGGAAGTCCTTCCCATTTTTTCTTAGATCCAAGGTCTGTATACAAAATGTGATTTATAACTATGCCCTATGGAAAACAGCACCCCATTCTCGTCTTTTTGTGTTACAGATTTGTCTTGTACAATTTCTCATTGAAAATTGCCTCAGGATATTTGGAGAAGACATCACTTCCCTCTTGGGCGAGAACTCAATGAGTCGTGGTAACAGCGAGAAGGCTGCAGGTACCGGGAGTAATTTAATTGGCTTTAGTGAGAAGCAGACAGCAAGGTTGCCAGGGGTCATGGGAGATGCTTAGACAGAGCTGTTCTGGAGCCCAGAGCATCGCCAGGGCAAGGATTTCCATGGGCTCCTTCTTCCGAAGGCTGGCTCACAGGTCAAGGGAGGTTCCACACTGTTGTGAGACCAAAGAAAGGATAAGATGAGGTGTCTGACTTCAAGAAGTTTCTAGTGTAGATCATAAGGGCATTAGGACTCATCATGGTATGCTACAGTGTTTGGGAATTTTTTCTAACAAAATTCTAAGTGGGTGCTATATATCTATATATATATACAACATCATACATATATATGTAGTTATATAGATATATAATATATAATTAGATACTTATACTATATAAATATAACCATAGTATATATATTTATGTATATTAGATGTGCTCTGGTTGAAGCCAGAGCAAGGGGCCTTTCTTCCCCTCCCTCCTCTTTTGGCTCAGGGGCTCTTGAGGCACCACAGGATTCCAGTGCCCTTTGAAACAGGTTGAAAAGAACTGGCATCATTGAGAAAAAAGGACTTGACTTGATGTCAAAAAACCTCTCCAGAGTGTAAAGTCCTGTGCCCCCATTTACCAGCTATATTACCTTTGATCAGTTTTTCTAGCTCAGCATCAGTTTATTCATCTATAAATGTGGATAAAAATAATGTCTAAATCTTAGAATTGTGGTAAACACTAAATAAGATGATGGATGGAATCCAAAAAAAGCCATTAATAGGACTAGGAGAAGTGCCCCTGAGACTAGAGCTAGTACGATTTGAGCCTAGCTAATCACAGCTACCTGGCAGCAGTCCACCTTAGAAGGTAGACTTTTGATTCAGAACCTGGAGACACGTATCATCAATCCCTCCATATTTCTGACATTTCTTGGTTTTATGATGCTTACCACATTGCTTTGAGGAAATCTTTAGGAAAATACAAGTCATCAGGAATTAAGATGTGTCTGGGACGCCTGGGTGGCTCAGTCATTAAGCGTCTGCCTTCAGCTCAGGTCATGATGCCGGGGTCCTGGGATCGAGCCCCGCATCGGGCTCCCTGCTCCGAGGGAAGCCTGCTTCTCCCTCTCCCCCTCCCCCTGCTTGTGTTCCCTCTCTCGCTGTCTCTCTCCCTCTTTCAAAATATAAATAAAATCTGTAAAAAAAAAAAAAAAAAAAAAAAAAGGAAAATGAAGGTTCCGCGTATTAAACAACAACTACTACTACTAGTACGCTCTCTTCTTCCTTAGACTCCGGCCGTAAGACTGTGACAAGCCGTTCTCTCAGTGACAGGGCCTTTTGTCAGGGTTCCAGCACTTGTCAGCACAACCAGTGCACAGCCCCACCTTCCGCAGAGCCAGGACAGCTCTTTGGAGTTCCCCTCATGGATGTGTGTGATAAAGACAACTTGCCCTTCCCAATTCTGGTAGGTCATCTCCTTTTGGTCTTCTACAGCCCTCCTGAGGAGGGGAAACTCTGAGAGGCCACGTGTCCTCATCCAAATGTATCCCCAAATGGAGAAGTCATTAGACGGCCCCTGGCTTTGGCTGAGAAGCTCTGTTACTGTTATTTCAAGGAACAGAATCTGACTTAGGTCCAGCAGAGTCATGAGGCAAATACAACAGGAAAAGACATTCTTGTCCATTCCACTTGGGTTTTGTTTCCGCAAAGACCCACCGAGGCCTGTTCAGATCAGTCAAAATGACTCTGTGTATGTGAGTCTCTGAGAGTCCACCTCATCTTCACACTCTCCCTTCATTGCCTTCCTGCACTCACATGAGTCTCAAGTCTCCTTCAACGGAGTCTACTCAGTCTAACAACTGCAAACATCTGACACGAGCATAGACTCATCCTCTGGCAAATAGGAATCTGTTAATCCTAACAGAATATGTCAAATGAAAGCCACAGAGTTTGGCCTGTGTTATCTCAAACTGCTGTAGTGAATTGTCAGTGTGGACCTTCACTGAGTATTCGGTGTCTCTGCAAGCACTGTACGGGATGTAGGGAACGTTCTCCTATCTATGAAGAAATGTATCATATTAGCTACTTTGTTACCTGCTAGCTACTACCCCAGGTCCTTGCATCGCAGCAAATTTAGGGGCTAGCTAGGATTATCATCCTCCACACTTCCTAACCGAATCAGAGAAGCCTCAATACAGGATGTAAGTGACCCAGCTCACACAATAGATAAGTAGCATAATAGACTTCAGATCCGTTGGATTCCCTGAGTCCAGCCCTTATAAAGATTCTACACAGCAGAGAGAGGACATGAAGATAGAGCAAAAGACAATTTAAGACTCATGAGAAGGGAGGGTAATCAGAGAAGGAGAAGAGAGTTTCTGAGCCTGACTTTAAAAGAGGGAAGGAAATAGAACAAGTAGGAAAGGAGTATACAGTCACTTAAAGAGAAATAAACAAATGGGAAATGAGTATTCCCTAAATAGACTTCCATACTTGGGGAAGAGCATCTACGTAGGGGAATAATGAGAAAAGAATGGTAAAGTAGGAAACAGACGGTGATTCCGCAAAGGCCTTGAAGCAGAGAAGTTTGATTTAAGAGTGGAAACTCAATGGAAAGGAAAATCTGATTAAAAGAAGTGTTTAAAATGTTTCAGTGTATGACTGTAAAATGGATATTTCGGTAGAAAGTATATAGAGAGACACTGAAAAAAAAAACAAAAAACATTCTAAATTGACTTTGGTCCTTCCCGCTCTAAAACAGTGTACCATTACATTCCCCTCCTCTTTCAAAACGGAGGCAAGCTTATGCTCTGCGTGTGTGGATATGAGATGCCATATACTTTTCTTTTCTTCCTACAGGCTATGCTTTCCTTTATTAATCAAAAAGGGCCCCTCACAGAAGGCATATTCAGAAACTCAGCCAATATAAAATCCTGCCATGTCCTAAAGGAGAAACTAAATTCTGGGGTCAAAGTGAACCCGTACAGCGAATCTGTTCATGTGGTCGCATCCGTCTTAAAGGTAGGGAAGGTCCTAGCATTATCCACACACGAGTAACTGAAGCTATGATTGGTGTCCTTCATCATGACTGCTCAAGAACCATAACGGGCATAATAGATTAAGAACCTGACAAGCTGAAAAACGCTTGACAAAATCAAAATTTAAGGAAGCTACTTTTGGAGTTAAAAGCCCCATGTGTTAGAAATACTTTCTGTTTTGACTACACACCGCCCTCCCCACCTTCACTCCTGAAGACTCCATGCAAAATACTAATACTGAAATGACTACTAGTCATGATAATAAATTTCAAAATACGCACCGATACATACACACAGTTTACCCATGAAAACATCCTCACCACCCTCCTAATGAAGGCAAACTTTCCAAAAGAAA